CCATGTGTCCCCTTTCCCGGCATGAGTAGCACTTTCTCTTTGCTTGAGCCTTCTCTTCTTTGCTCATGTGGTGCTTCTCATTGCCTTGCCTCTCATGGATTGCTTGAGCCTTCTTCTCAAGCTTGTTAGGACACTTAGAGGTAAAGTGTCCCATACTTCCACACTTGAAGCACTTGATGTGAGCATAATCTTTCTTCTCATCTTCATTCTTGCTCATCATCTTAGCATCTTGAGTTTGCATTGGATGCCTTGCCTTTCCACCCCTTCTTGTTTTCTTCTTCTTCATCATCAAGTGACCACCATCTTCATGGTTGATCTTGATTTGCTCTTGGGGTGTCTTTTCTTGCTCAACTTGTGGCTTTGGTTGAGGCTTCACTTGTTGCTTCACCAATTCCTTGGTTGGGCACATTGAGGTAAGATGACCCCAAGTGCGGCACTTGAAGCACTTGACATGCCTTAGCCTCTCTTCTTCTTTCTTCAACTTGAGCTTTTCTTCATTGGGGCAACCATTTGCAAGATGTCCCACTTCATGACACCGGTAGCACATGTTATGAGAGAGCTTTCTTTGTTGAAGCTTCTTTATCTTTCTCTCTCTCTTCATTTCGCCCTTTGTCATCTTCTTCTTGAAGCCAAGGCCACACTTGTCACCATAGTATCTTTGAGTTTTCAACATGTGCTCAAAGGTGACTTTAGAGTTGTAACACCTCTCTAACTTGTTGCTCAATTTCTTCACTTGTTTATTTAGCTCATTGTTCTCCTTCAAAAGGTTAGTCTCACAAGACATAGAAGTAGAACAAGCATTTATATGTGAAGAGCATGGCATATCTAACAAATCATCACAAGAGGTGGATACATGCTTCTTTTCTACATCACAAGGTTTAGCAACATTTTGCAATTGATCTTTTGACCCATGTGATGAGTTCTCATTATTTTTAAGTTTCTTTGTAAACACTTTAATGAGAGAAGCTTGTTTTTCTAATAATTCATCATGAGATGCAAGAAGTGTCTCATGATTCAATTTAAGCTCATCAAGTGAAGATTTATAAGCATTAAACAATTTCTTATGTTCTTCACAAGAGTTCTTTAGAAATGAGTTTTCATTTTCTAATTTCAATGTTTTAGCTTTCTCATTTTCTAAAGACATGGTCATGCTAGCAAGTCTACTAACAAGCTCATCATATGACTCAACATGATCAACCACATTACCATTTGATACCTTGGTGTCACCTTGTGACATGAGACAATGTGGTGAAGTGGATGGGCTTGTAGTAGCATCATCATGGCTTGAGCATGAACCATCATCACCATCCTTGTCAAGTGAACTTGTAGTGGATTGATCATCATCATCCTCACTTGACAATGAGGTGGAGCAATCTTCCACAATCACCAAATTGTGGTTATGCTCAACACACTCATGTGTCTCCTTCTTGGGCTCACCCTCCTTCTTGAATTTGCCATCATACCATGTGGAGGAATCACCGTAGAAGGCTTGGAGTGCTAGCCACATATCATGTGCATTCTCCAAGTCCCACACACGCCTAAAAACATCATCATGTAAAGCACATATTAGATAATAAAACAGCACGATGATCAAGTTGTAAGCAATCCTCTTGTGCTTGGGTTAGGTTGTCCTTATCCAAAGCATCACGAGAAAAACCAACAACAATGATCCACCATGCCTTGGGACCCAATTTACGGAAATGATCAAGCATATGATGTTTCCACCGTGCATAGTTTGTGCCATCAAAAATGTGTGTGTCACAAACAACCTCTAGCCCAAAGTTCGCCATCCTCTCGGGTCGGTGAAGACCACAAATGAGAGACCGTGCTCTGATACCACTTGTAAGGGTCGAGATGGCGGACTAGAGGGGGGTGAATAGTCTTTTCTAAAATTAATCGCGTCGGATAACCGATATAAATGCGAATTAAAACAATCGGTCTAGCCAAGACTACACCCCTCTATATATGTTCACTAGCACCTTGCAAAGATACTAATAAAGCAACTAAGGTGCCGGGCTAGCTAGAGCTCTCCTAAACAATTCTAGGAGCAAGGTCACACAAACCTATGCCACTAGTATTTTAAGTAACAAGGGAGCTCCTACACATGCTAGTAAGCAAAAGCACAAAGCTAACTAAGCTCACTAGCAATGCTCAATAACAAGGCAACCAATGCCTAATTAGAGAGCGCAAATACTTAGCTACACAAACTAAGCAATGTGACTAACAAGGTTACTAAAACCAAATTAGCCACGCAAGGGAGCTACTTCTATGCTACACAAGCAAGAAGGGTAATTAGCTAGCTACACAAGCTATCTAATTACAAGAGCAACTACACAAGCTTAAGATATATATATATAAGTAATTGCGAGCTTGTGTAATGGGGATGCAAACCAATGGGAAGAACAAGGATGACACGATGATTTTTCTCCCGAGGTTCACGTGTTTGCCAACACGCTAGTCCCCGTTGTGTCGACCGCTCACTTGGTGGTTCGGCGGCTAATTAGCATCACCCGCTAAGCCCGCACGTCGGGCGCCGCAAGAACCTACCCCTTGAGTGAGGGTAGCTCAATGACACGCTTTACTAGAGTTGCTCTTCGCGGCTCCCGCGGGGCGAGCACAATGCCCCTCACAAGCACTTCTCCGGAGCGCCGCACAAGCTTCTTGCGCGCTTCGACGGAGACCACCACCAAGCCGTCTAGGAGGTGGCAACCTCCAAGAGTAACAAGCACCACCGGCTCGCAACTCGATCACCTAGTGCCACTCGATGCAACCTCACGATGCAATCGCACTAGAATCGCTCACTCACACAATCGAATGATCGCTATCAAGTATGTGTGTGATGGAGGGCTCCCAAGCACTCACAAGCATGGACACTAAGTCCCTTGAGGTGCTCAACACCAGCCATGGCCGAGGGCCACTTCTATTTATAGCCCCAAGGGCTAAACTAGCCGTTACCCCTTCACTGGGCAACGGTCGGGACGACCGGACGCTCCGGTCCGATCGACCGGACGCTGGACCACAGCGTCCGGTCACGCGATACTCGCCACGTGTCCCCTGCGTTCAACGGTCATCTTCCGATCCCAACGGTCATCTGCCGACCGGACGCAGCACTTCAACTGACCGGACGCAGAACCCCCAGCGTCCGGTCGTTTCCAGTAAGCTCCCGAGCATGACCGGACGCGTCCGGTCGAACGCGATCGGACGCAGCCAGCGTCCGGTCACTCTCCAGCTACTGCGTCATCGTACGTCAGCGCGACCGGACGCAGCCTGCCAGCGTCCGGTGCATTCAGATCCAGCGTCCGGTCAGTTGATCGACGCCAGCATCTTCGCGACCAACTCGTTCTCACTTCTAACTTCTTCACCCTTGCTCCAATGTGCTAACCACAAGAATTTTGCATCCGGCACAATAGAAAATAGGCATTCTATTTTCCCGAAAGCGCCGAATCCCGCCTCACAAGCTCGGCGGGAGGGAGAGAGGGACCCAAACCCATCTCACCCCTGCAAACACCACCTCGTTTGTAAATGTGCCAACACCACCAAGTGTACACCACCATGTGTATGTGTGTTAGCATTTTCACAATCATTTCCCAAAGGATGTTAGCCACTCAACTTGCCACGCCACTCGATCCTAGCGACAATGCAAAGTTAGATCACTCGAGTGGCACTAGATGACCGATATGCAAACAAGTTTGCCCCTCTTGATAGTACGGCCATCTATCCTAAACCCAGTCATAAACTTCTCTACACACCTATGACCGGTGAAATGAAATGCCCTAGGTTATACCTTTGCCTTGCGCATTCCATTCCATCTCCTCCAATGTTGATGCAACACATGCACCAACACGATCAACAATGATATGATCCACTTCATATCATCACGTGATCATATTGGTTCATCGATCTTGACTTCACTTGCCCTTCACCGTTGCCATCGTCCATCGGCGCCAAGTCTTGCTCAAGCTTCACCGCCACGCGGTCCATCACTCCAAAGCCTTCGACTTGCCCTTCACGCTTGCAACCGGTCCATCAAGCCAAGTCTTGTCTTGATCTTCTCCACCTTGATCACATGACTCAATGTCATGTCTCATGTGCAATAAGCTCCTTCATCATCACGTGTGTGAGCTTTGCAACATCTCTAAGCCATTTTCACCTTCATGGCATATGTTGCTCACACACATGTACCTGTGGACTAATCACCTGTGTATCTCACATAAACACAATTAGTCCACCTAGGTTGTCACTCAATTACCAAAACCAACAAGGACCTTTCACTTGTCCATATACAATTCATGATAACTTTGTGCTAGTTTTGCACTGCTCTCAACCATTTTAAAAAAAAAATTCCCCATCACTAGAATCATCAGACTCACTTGAAGACATCTGTGAACATTGACATAAATGAAATGTAAGATACAACTGCCATACAGAACTACACAAATATGAACTGCAAGAACTTGAAGACATCTGCCATACAGAAAATGAAAATGAACTACAACTGCCATACAGAAAAATGAACATTGACAAAAATGAAAATGAACTACAGAAAGCTTTTTACTTGTCATACAGAACTGCCATCAGAACTACACAAATATGAACTGCAAGAACTTGAAGACATCTGCCATACAGAAAATGAAAATGAACTACAACTGCCATACAGAAAAATGAACATTGACAAAAATGAAAATGAACTACAGAAAGCTTTTTACTTGTCATACAGAACTGCCATCAGAACTACACAAATATGAACTGCAAGAACTTGAAGACATCTGCCATACAGAAAATGAAAATGAACTACAACTGCCATACAGAAAAATGAACATTGACAAAAATGAAAATGAACTACAGAAAGCTTTTTACTTGTCATACAGAACTGCCATCAGAACTACACAAATATGAACTGCCATACAAAAAAATAGAATGTAGCTAGAACTGCCATACAGAAAAAATAGATTGTTTACTGCCATACAGAACTGCCATACAGAAAAATCTCACTACCATTTCTACTTGTCATATTTATCATTGTACTTCCTCCTAAGCCAAGTGAACCTAATCTCATTAGTAGGCAAGGTCATGAACATCTCCCTTTGCTCCTTCTTCACAAACAGTTCAGTTGCAATGTAATGTTCATTGCTATCATAGCCGGCCCCACAAGCAATCACAACCTCCATCACTTCATCAATAGAGTATTTTCCATGTCTCTTCGAAACATATTCATTGGCTGAACTTGCCATACTGTTTACTGCTTCTTGAATTAGGAGTGCATTTCCAGACTTCGCCTTCTTGCCACTTTTTTCAACAGGCCTAGCCAATCTCTTGCCACTTGCAGGTGGAGGAGAAATACCAATATCCTCCTCTTGTGTTTCAGGACTGACATCATCATCTTGTGGATCAAAATTGGTTGCCTCCTCTTGTGTCTCATCAACATTTTCAACATTCACAACATGAGGAGACCAATGATCAATACCAATAGTAGTGATGTCAGCAAAACACTTGGCTAAGTCATCTTCATTCTCAAGGCCCTTCTTTTTGAACTTTCCACAACCCGGAATGTCCTGAAATAAGCAGAACAACACATATTATTATAAAGTATTACAAACAGATTTGCCATATGGAAAACAAATATAGCAAAAATCTTGAACCAACTTACAGCTCTAGCTTTTTTCCACCATTCATCATCCATAGCAATAGTCTTCTTTATAGGATCCCAACCAGTCCCTGTTTGCCTCAAAGATTAGTTTCTTCCATGCCTTGAAATCTTCCTTCAACTTGTCCCATTTGTTCTTGATCCGAACCTTGGTAGCCACAATTCCAGTCCTTTCTTTGAACCCTTTCTCAACCTCAAAGATAACCAAGTGCATTCAAGTGTGTGTTTGGCGATTTCCTTTTTCAACTTGTTCGGCAAACAACATACACACGATACTTTCGAGTGTTCTCCGAGTTCCAATCAATTTCAGGCATCTATCGAACTCACAAATTTCATATTAGACTCTAATCTATCCAACGGTGATGCCATGATGGGCAATAGAACTTTCACTTCAAACAATTTCATGACGGACAACCAACTTATGGTATATAAATGATGAAAAAAGCAGTTTGTGTGTAAACAAGAGAGTACTCCATTAGGTACGATATCATTATAATGCAGATTAGGTAAATGCGTGATGGAAGGATGGAATTTCATCATTGCGAAATGACACTTCCCAGTTCCCTACTAGGTGAGGTGAACCGTGAACCCACACATGTGTTTCAACTTTCAATTCCCCAACAACCTAAATTTCATTCAAGTTTGAAACAATTCCATGGCTACCACTACCACTACCATTCAAGTTTCGTAAACAATTCCTAGGAGATTCGGAGACTGCTAGGCGTATCCATTCAAGTTTGAAACAAAGACTCGATTTCCATGGCTACCACTACCAAAGAAAAAAAAAGGCCACAGCCCACGGTCCCGGAGGGGAGGGGAGGGGCGCCACGATGAGAAGACAGAGCACCCGAGCGAAACCAGTCCGGACGGGAGGGGGGGGGCGCGCCCACGTGAAGAAGACAAAGCACCCCAGCGAGAACCCGGTCCCGGGCGGGAGGGGGAGGCGCGCCACGGTGAGAAGACAGAGCACCCCGCGAGAACCAGTCCCGGGCCGGGAGGGGGGGCGCGCCACCACGGTGAGAAGACGGAGGAGTTACCTTGGATCTGGATCGAGGTGGGCTCAGCGGGGGAGGTCCGGTAGCCACAGGCGGGGTGAGGGGGCGGTGGCAGCGGACGGGGTCGCCTAGTCGCGAGGAAGCCGCGCGTACGCTTGCTGGGGACGGCGGGGGGCTTCACGTCGCCCTCTTCTCCTTCTTCTCCGGCAGAGATGGAGGCGTCCTTCTTCCCCTTCTCCTCTAGGGTTAGGGTTGGGGATGGAGGAGACCTTCTTCTCTTCTCCACTAGGGAAAAGGTGGGGGATGGAGTAGAGGGGGAAGAGAGGCGGGGGAGGGGAGGGGAGGGGCGCCGGCCGGCGATGGCGTCGCTGGGCCGTGGCCGGCGGAGGGCGCAGTCGCCCAGCGCACGTCGCCCGGTTACGCGGATTCACGGAGAGAGAGAGGGAGGGAGGGGGAGTCGGTCGCACGCAGGTGTGGGAGGGCAGAGCGAATAGAAAGAAAAACGGTTCGAGTTGTGTAATCAGTGGCAATTGCGGGTAATTTCACCCTAACTCCACGTCTAGATCTATTTTGGCCAGTTCTAGAGTAGGAGAAGAGGTACTCCGAAACTCCACCTCCATTTGCACTACAGCTTCATGGAGTTGGCAGCTCCATGGAGTTTTAGAGCTGGGGTGTTTGGCTGGAAAATTGGTTGGAGTTGCTGGAGTTTAGCTCCAGAGCCATGCCAAACAGGGCCTTAATAGAAGATTGTTCTCTTGGACTCTGCCCCAGCGAAAACATCTCTGCCTTGCTCAATTTCTGTTGACAAAATTTCCATACTTTATCGTTGATGTATCTGACACATTGACAGCAAACCAGAGCGACATTTGGGAGATTCTCGTTGTGACCCTGTCTAATACTGCCATACTTCGACCGGTCTCCCTGCGGTCACATGACTTTATGATCCACAGTTGAGATACAGACATACAGGAGTTAGATGTGCAATTATGGTTATTCATCATTCATAAACAGGATTGTGATTGTAGTCATGCATTGTGCGTTGACGCACGTTGGGTCTACCTGCAGTTCCGTGATCTTGACCTGTGCACGTCGGGTACTATCTGCACGGTTGGGCGTGCTAGGGATGCAAGTGGGGCGGGCAGCCCGCACACCGCCACGCTTTGCAGTGGCTTAGGGCGGACAGAGGAGGGAGGCACGGGTGTGAAAAATAAGCCGCGAGAAGCAGCCCCCTTTCTCATTCCCAGTTCTTTTTCCAGAAGCCTATCTAAAAAAAGGCCCATGAGAAGCTATGCGTTTGAGATTACTAATGTCTTAATAAAAGTTTAAAAGGTACTTAATCCATCCCAAACTACAAGATGTTTGACTTTTTTGACACCAAATTTGACTAGTTTTATTCAAAAATTTGTGTAAAATATCATTTTTTTTTGTCGTGGCTTGGTTTATTAATAAAAGTTTTTTAAGAATGACTTAAATTTAACTATATTTGTATAAATTTTTTAAATAAGACGAGTGGTCAAACTTTAGGTTAAAAAAATCAAACGTCTTATAATTTATGATGAAGGGAGTAGCAGAAAGAGCAAGTAAGCAGTTCCAATTTTCAAACAGGGGCATAGTCAGTCCTACGGGAACCTCGGAGCGAGCACTGTGAGCGAGAGTGATTGCATATGCATAGCCAGGTTGTCTCTTGTCTGTAACCCTGCTACAGTCAGATTCAGAAGTGAGTGTTGTTGCTAGTGTTCACAACGCAACGCACACATGTTTCTGGCCAAGGTCGGCTTCCGACGACACGTGGTCGGCACATTCCGGGTGGTGATCGAGAAAATGCGTAGCGTAGGTCCGCGTCATGGGGCTCAGAAATTACTGTTGCTAATTAACCAAGGCATGTTGGAGGCTGGAAGGATGAGGTAATTGGGTGCAAAGTCACTGTCTGTTGCACTGCTACGCCTACTGCACCATGATTTCTACCTATTTTTTGTAGGAATACAATGATTGTTACCTTTAGATGGGTTTCCTTGCACAAAATTTCAAGACGAAGAGAATGCAAGCGATGTTTTTTTTTTTTGAAGAGTCTGGAGGGGCCGAAGCCCCTACAGCAGAAATTTTATTAAATACAAGAAGCAACAAACTTACAAGTAGCACTTACAAACGAAATTAAGGTACAAAAAAGGAAATAAAAAAGATGCTATCTATTCTCAAAATTACAACCAGTTTTGGATCCATGTGCAGAAATCTTCAGAACGACTCTCCTTTACTCTTAACAAAGTTAAGGCCATTTCTTTATTGAAGGCATCTTTAGTTGAAGGTTTGGTCCAAGCGATGTTCAATTGTGAGCGCAGATCGACTGAACCACGGATTTATCAGTTATCACACGTATTAGGTGTTTGGATCAGTTATCCGGACACACCGGTTACATCAACCATGCATCAAACTGGGCTGGAGCCTGCAAGTCATGAGAATCCGCTGGATCCTGGATGCATCCGATGCTCGTACCAAGTACCAAGCCCAGTTTCTGAACGCCAGGGGGCGAGCATGTTCGCATTACATCTGCCTGCTAATCTATATACCTCCAAATCGAAAGTCCAATTCGCAGCAGAAGAAACACTGTGGCCAGCTGGACTTGGCTTTCGTATTTACGCGCGGCTTTGACGGCCTTGATAAGAGAAAAAGCGAGAGGCTAAGACGATGGTGGATTAGAGCGTGCCATGGTTGGAATGTAACCGAAGACTCTACTACCTGTCGAGCCTCGAGTGCCGGCTCGTAAAGGCTCCGTTGGCTTAGCCGAAAAAACATTCCGATTTGCTGTGAGAGAAAAATATTGTTCCAGAAAAAATAACCTGAAAAATATGGATTATAAACGAACGGGGTCAAAACGTGCTCAGTACTACTACTACTGTACTTGAAAAGCATAACAAAACGTAAATAGGACGGCGGCGCGACGGCCACAGATAACGACTGCACCCTACAGCAGTGCAGCTGATGGCCTGGCCTTCCCCCATTACCCGCCAAATGCGCCGGCGCCACCCTCCGCGCGAGGCTCTCTCTCCGGACGGACTTCACCACGGGATCACCTCAAGATCGTTGTCGGATTTCTTGGACACGTTCGAATTGAAAGAACTATGCTTTTCAATTCAGCTTGTCTTTCCTAGGCGCAAGAACACTGAAGAGTCGAGAGACTGAAACCAGCGCCGGAAATCTTGTTCGGAGCTCATAGGGTAGAGTTCAGACCAAGCTCTGTTCGGATCTTCTTCTGTACAGAGATAGGAGTTATAATTGGAAATAGCAACTCATGGTAATGCCAATCGTTCGATCACTGGCTCACTGGTTTTGACTGCAGCCTTGCACAGTTGCACGCAATATTTCGTGTTTCACGTTGGGCTCCTCGGCGAGAGCGACACGTGCGCTGACACATTCATTCACCCAAGAAACGTGACACGCGGCGTCCCCCGCATATTCAAGGGCCGGGCACGGGCACGGCTAGTGTGGCCTCTACGCTTGGCGCGACCACCAACCGCCCGCCCGCGGCCGCACCCCACCAACCGCTCCGGCGCCCGGAAAAAGCCAAATCCCATTCCCACGATAACGCGGGGGCAAAACGGACATTTCGGCCTCATCCACACCACACCACACCACACCCCTGCTGAGCGCCTGAGCTCTCGCTCGCCCTCTGACTCGTCACGCCACCTCGTCGACGGCTGGCTTGTCCAGTTCTTTCCTCTCTCTCCTCGAGCCTCACCACCAAATTCCGTCGCCAGGAAGAGGAGAGACGCCGCCAGTCACCGAGTCACAGGCCCCCAACACCTCCCGAATCCTCCACAAAACCCTGCGAGAAATCCGGGAGAGCGAATCACGAGGCGATCGCCATCGTCGGAACGGCAGCCGCTAGGCCCGGACGGAGGGACTTGCGCTTGGTGGCTTGACTCCGCGCCGCGGCGGACGGCGGCGCCTGGTGCCTGGTTCTGCTTCGTTGCGCGCGGCGGTTCGGTTCGGGCGATGGCGGAGGCGCGGCGCCACGCGATCGCGCCGCAGCTAGGTGAGCGCACT